GAAGCCGTCCGACGTAGAGCAACAAAGATGATACCTTCATTACGTAACAAACTCTATGAAGAGAGGTTGGAGGAATTAGACTCATTTTCATTAAAGAAGCATCCAGGGTAGATTAATTGAATGTTTTAAAATATTCAAAGGGTTCACCAGTATTGACCCAAACAAACTATTTATACTTGATGATAACTCTCGTACGGGAAGTAATGGGATGAAGCTAAGATGCCGAGACGTACAGTAAAATTAGACTACAAATTATTTTTTCATTAATGACATTGTTGGATAGTGGGATAAGCTTCCATCTTCAATTATTCAAAGCAATACAATTAACAATTTCAAAAAACACCTCGATCGCTACTTCTCTGACGAAGATATTTGCTATTTTTTTTTTTTTTTTTTAGGGACAGATCACCTCGAATGGACCAAAGGGTCTGTGTGGTCTGTGTTTCTATGTAAATCTATGTGTATCTCAACAAATACATCATACATCTTCTCATTTTGCTTGAAGGTGCTTCCATCTGTTTCTCATTTTCTCGTAATGTGATTAGCTCTGGTCATATGATGTTACAGCCACTCCTTGACTTACGACGGGGTTAGGGACCCAAATCCAGGTCGTAAGTCGAAAATGCGAAGATAATACATAGAAAATCTAAATTGGGTGTCTCTTTTTCTTCTCAGCACCACAAAACTCTCACTTTTAAGCATGCCAGCCATTTTAAAGGGAATTACAAACGAAAATTTTGTCAGTAGACGGCGCAATTAATAACGTTGGGACTCTAAAATACGTAATTTGAAAAATTTTTGGTACGACTGGGGCGGTCGTATGTCCGGGTGGTTGTAAGTCAAGTAGGTCGTAAGTCGGGGAGGAGCTGTATTGTGAAAAAAGTAAAAAAAATAATTGTCCTAAGGGCAAACCTGTACTCAAATGTACTCCGTTAATTACTAAAAAAAATTGTCTCATGCAAACTATGGGCTGTTTGTACTTAAATTACTCACTATCTTACAAGAATTACAGCAATGCAAGTTATATACTGCCAAGTCAGTTGAGTGACATTTTATAAGGGAAAAACTTAAAACTCCCTCTATTTGATTACCCACCTTGTTATCTCCCCTCCCTGACAGCTGTCAACACTTCACCTTCCCCTCCCCTCACTCCCAGCCAGGGTGAAGGCAGTTTAGGCTTAAAGTTTTTATCTTATAAAATGTAGCTGCAATTTTTCACAGGGCATGAGCTCTTGTTGGTTATTGCTCTAGTATGTTCATAGTTCTTAGCAACTCTGTTCCTGAATCAATTGTACCTGTGCAAGATTTCTCCTTGTACTCTCAGCTACACAATAATTAACCTTTATCTACCTCAAACTCATTATTTTTCATATTCATATGCCATATCATTACACCGGACCATCTTCCATGCCTATATCAGAATATTGTTCATTTCACCATGCTATTTAAAATGGTATCTTGAAATCATTTCCCCCCAAAATAGATTTAAACTCTAAATTCAAAGAAAGAGGTAGTCAGGTAGTTAGAATCACATAAAATTTCCTTTTTATAAGCTTTATGTTTTCATGCTCACTTTATATTTGGTGTGTACCATATCTTTAGGATATCAAAATGTTCCTGGTTGCATTTAGTTAGCTCAGCACTTCATTAACTGCAGAATGGAAACTAGGGTACTAGGCTCAGCTAGAGAAGCAGGACAATTACCAAAGCTTTTATGAAAATAACAAGAAATAAACTTAAAGGACAGTGAATGAACTGGTTGAGAGGGATTATGGCTGGTATTAAATTATTAAATTACTGTAGTGGACTGGGATGGAGTCTGGGGTGTGATAAGATTGTTTTTTCCCCTTACTTGTTCAGTAAATGAGGAAATTATAATTAGATATAGTATTGTATTGTGAAGAAAGTGGTTGACAGTAAAATATGGAGGACTTAGGTTGTCTAGACAGAAAGTGAGAATGTTAGGAAGAATATATTGGAATTAGATGAAGTAGAATAGACACTTAAGACCATAAGAAAGATAAGGGTGAATGTATTGATATTAATATTGAAACAATTTACCTAGCCAGAAAAAGACAGATACAGAGTGGACAATAATAAAAAAATTGACATGGCCGAGCCAATTGAGGGCCTGAGTTCTCTTAGTGGCATGAGAGAGGTTTGTCAATTAAGGAATTTCTCGCATATTTGCTTCATGTATAAAAATGGCTTTTATTCTAATTTATCCCCCACTAAATAGAGAGGTATTTAAGGATATAGGTAGATCCACAAAGGACAGTAAATAAAGCTTCATTGTGTGTTTTATTAATATTTCAGATGCCAGTTCCAGGACCAAGTGGTTTTTATCCAGAATTTGTTTTTGGGGATCCAGGCTTACAAAATCCTTCTCCTAGTGGACAGGGCCCTCCAACTATTCCAGCTGAAATGATGACAGAGATGCCTTTTCAACGCCCAGATGTTTATGATACTCAGATGCAGGCTCTTCCGCAATATTTACCATCCAGTTTACCACAACACCAAAGCCTTATATCCCAGATCTCCCAGCCACACCCTAGTGTAGGCTTGCCTCCCCATCACACTCCTCTCTCTGCAACTGGTCCTACTGCAGCATACACCCCTAGTTCTGTTATTTATATTGATGGAGAGAGGGATGCGAGTCAGTTACTGCACTAAAAATAATGAATGACAAACATTAAATAATATACTTCAAGTTTTCAAGTAATTATTCTGCAATGTCATGCTGTCAGCCATGATATGCCTGTTATCATGTATGGCATGAATGGTGTTACTGTTAAGACTGCTGGTGTTTGGGAACTTTGAAGGAAATACTTTTGGGCTCCAATAATACTCCCCTCCAATACATCCTAAAGATGCTGTTTATTCTTCACTCTCAGGCTAGGTGGTGTTGTTGCTTTGGATATCACATTTAATAAGTACAGTATATTGGTAGTTCTCATTTTAAGCATTTTTATTTTGTTTTTGTGAGACGTATTGACGCCAAAGGTCATGCATTTTTTAGAATGACAGAACTAAGTGAGATAGTGTGTAATATTGAGAAGAAAAAAAAATTATCACACCCGATGAGGGGAACTATTCAGTTTTTTATACAGTAATTCCAAAGTTTTAAATAAATATTTTGAGTTTTTAACCCACATGAATTAGCATTACAAATGCTGTGCAGTTCTTAGCCATTCACATGGTAGTTGAACTTTGTCAGCTTTAAATTTTTAGGAAGGATATATAAATATTTTGAAACTAGATAGTGATTTGCTTAGATTGTTATAAGTTTTTTTTGTCTTTTGTTAAAATTTACTGTTTCTTTTATTTATTACCCTTTAAACCTTTGGAAGTGAATGTACTTCTGTAAAAAGTTTTGTGTGTACAGTCAAACAGTCACACAGGTATTGTTGTGTATGGTTTGTGAGAGAGATAATAATTTCTTTTTAAATAGTTTTTATAATTGTTAAAATCATTCATTCCACAAGACTGGCCCCATGTTTGTTGGTGTACCTGACCTTCATGTTCTGTTCTCACTTTGATTTGAGGAAGTTGTGTGTTATATATATATTCTTGGGCCTGTTTTACTTAATATTTATTTTATCTTTGTGTTATATTATGTTCTCTTTATATGAATGGATTGTTGAGATTGATTTCTAATTGTACTAAAATAACTATTGACTCTAAGGGTACAAATTCTTGGGTGTACAAAGTGATATAACGAAACTGTTATCATGTTATAAAGTTAAATGATAACAATTTGTATTTTGGGTAAATTTGAAATATTACAGAGGTAAGCTCTAACTTCATCACATAATTGAAACTTGTTCAAAAAGTTTTTCTTGAAGTAGAAGAAGATAGAGCAATACCTGATTTTTGTACTTTCATATTGAACAGTCCAATTTCTAGAAAAACCCATTCAGGACCATTCATTCCTATGTCCACTATTAAATATTAGGATGAAATAAGAGTTTACATACATTTTGTACCTGCCCTCAAGTACCTTTCTGTGTTTCCTCTCCCAGACCATGGACTGGATTCTTTTATTCTTTATCATGAGTGTCTGCTGCACTATGTTTTCATCTTGGACAACACAGCTTGGCTCATGATGACTGTTGAAGATGAGAGAAAATAACCCAGAGTGTGATTTGTAAGGCAATCAGTGAACATGTCCATATTATTTTATGATTGTAAACCTTTAAAGTTACTTTGTATGATTTTGTATCAAGGACATTTTACACTTATTCTTTAAAAAATGTTGTATAAGGAAAAATATCATCTAGGAAGTCCAGATTTTCATATACTGTACTGTTAGTAAACACATAAGTGAGATAGTAAGTCTACATCAAGACCTCAAATATCTGTATTGTCTCTTGATTGGCTGTGGTATCAGATATTGATATTAATAGCTTGTGATTTTTTGTGTACGCATATTTTGATAATGAAAATATCTAATAGTGCTAGCATAATAAGAGTGAATTAGATTTTTGAGAATTTATGAAAATAATCCAGGTCTTGATGTATAAAAATGCAGCCTAAGTTTTTATAATTTTTTGTTCTTAGGGTTGGTTTCTGGATCTCACCGTTACAATACCTCAGTAAAGACTTTACTCTCAGATATTGTTAAAATTGATATATCATGTAATTATATAAAGGGAGTCTTTATTAAGTGTGTGTTGGATTGAGTTCTAAAATACCATACCATGTGTCATTTATGAAAAAGAAGCAATAAGGATGCCTAGTTCTAATGTAGAACTAAACTCCAGTCTTGTGTTAGATTTCAGTTGAGTTGTGAGTGGTATATAACAGGCTGTATTTTTTTAGAGTCTTGCTCAGGTTCTCAAGAAAATAAAATTACTTTTATTTGTTGAGTATGATGTGGGTATGTGATTTCATATTTAGTTTTTTATTAAGTCAATGGTCTATATAATTTCGATTGCAATTGAATACAGTACATACCAATGCTCTGATAATCTGATTTAGGAAACCTGGCCAAGATTGTATATATATATATATATATATATATATATATATATATATATATATATATATATATATATATATATATATATATATATATATATATATATATATATATATATATATATATATATATGATTTACCCAGAGTATACAAATCTATAACAATAGACCTATGTTATCCATTATCAGATAAAAAGAATTTTGTCATGAAACAATACCTGTCATCATAGTTTGAAAATGTAACTTTATTATAGAAGCGACAACCTAAGTACAAGCAGATGGAACCACAATAATAAGGCAGATGACAACTGAGAAGCCAGATTGAGTCATATCAGACAAATGGGGAATAACTTCCATTTTTAAACAGCTCATATTTCATTCCTTTTTTATTACTATCAGTTATTTTTGTATTTGTTTTCTTTGTGACTATCTCTACCTTATTACAGGATATGTACTCATATACAGTGTTTCTTCATTTTCTTTTTTATGCATAAGATGTACACTCGGTAAAAACTATCTTTACAATTCTTGTGCGAAACAAAATGACACCACAAAATTCATCAGAGCCCTAATGAAAGATACCCTTTTTATCAAGTGTACATCCGCCGCAAAATGTTCTCAAACAGCTGGGCATGACAGATTTCACAATGAGCACTATGTCTCGTGTCATCTCGGAATGGTTGGTATGCATGGTAGCGAAGTAACAATATTTTGTAATGTTCAAATTTCTCATTCGTTTTGTCATATTGTATGATCTTTAGAACATTCAAGAATTTTCTGTGGTGAGCGTACTTGTGGTCATATTTGGGTGTTTTTATTCTTACTTTTTTATGGTTAAAGGAGATTGCTTGTTGATAAGAAAATGTATTGTAAAAGACATATGCCTTCAGACATTAGCAGATAACAACAAATAATGTGACAAGGGTTTTGTTAACAGATTTTGTGGCTGGGGTGGTGGATGTGACATGTGCAGTATACAGTATATAAAAGCATGAGTGAAATACATAACCTCAATATGTAAAGGCAAATACATTAAAGAATGTAAATGCAAAAGCGAACTTAAAAGTAAAGCATTGAGCAGATTGGTGATTCAAATGATTATGGTAATCACAGTTAGTACCTGTACAGTGAAAAAGAAAAAAAACAAAAGAAACCAATGGAAGTGTATGTTGTAAGTGTCAGAATCTCACCGTGACATATTCATTTAAGGATAAAGTATATGAAAAAGACTTGTATTTGGCAAGTACTGTATTGGTATAGAGAAGTATGGTAGAATTACAAGGTTGTTTGTGCAATAATCTCCTAAATCAAGAGAAATAACTTCATTTTCTTGGCCAGATATGGTTGGTAATAGTTGCTATATAAAATGAGGTGGGGGGGGGGTGGTGGTGAAGAAGTACTGTACTAGATAAGTCTTGAGAAAGGGGTGTCATAGAGGTTTCTGTTATGATTTTCTATGATTGTGGTGAGTAAATGAGGCTGTGTGAGATTGCTCTGGTGCAAAGTTAGGAAAATGTCAAAGAATAGAGATAAAAAAAATTATTATTCCAGGTCAAAAGTTTGCTCCCTCCTAAACTGAAACATCATCGACCCCAATTGAGATAAAACAGCACAACCACACCAGATGACAGTCAAGGTAAGTCAGTTCAGATACTCATTTCCGTGACTGTTTCACCATGGGGAGCGAGCTTTTGTTTGTGACTACATAAACTTTTCTGTGTATGAATTTTCATGGTTAGATAAGGTAATCTGCTTAATAACATTGCAATAGAATTCACTACTTGGAAATGCAGAAAGACTATTGGGAATAGATAAATTTGGGATTATGTAATTTGGATAGAATTATTTCAATTTCATAAAGTATTATTTCAAATGTCACTGTACCTCTGTCTCAGGGTTACATATTCCTCACTCAGAGAAAGTTAATGCAAGTAGAATCATCAAGGTACAGGTGCCTCCACGTGAACCTACCACAGTCTGGAAGTGTGTGAGGGCTCAGGTATGAGATGTGGCACTGCAGTGCCATAGTCAGGCTGAATGAATGGGCGTGAAACAGTGAAATTACTTTGCTTGCTGCGATAAGATACAAACAGTATGGGGATAAACAGATAAAAAAAAATCATACATGTTATGTTATTTAGCCACAACTGAGTGATTAGGACTGAACTACGGGGAATGGCCCATGACTACGGCGCTGCATTGCCACATCTCGTAAATTTGCCCATACACACCTCAAAGTTTTAACAGCATTCAATGTTGGAGGCATATGTATATAGCTTGTGCATTTTGGTTTGGGTGTTACATAAGTGAAATGGTCATAATTTCTTTGAATTAATTTAAAGAATATGAGAAGAAACTTTACCCCAATAAGTACAGTACAGTATTGTACAGTATACATGTGCACAAGTGCCAATTGTAAAAACGAATGTATGAAGACTGAGAGATATGTTGAGCTAAGAGCTAACATACAAATTAAGTATTTCTGCCAAGGTGGTGTGAAAGTGGGATAAATTTCTTTTCAGGTCACTTCAAGTAGTAGGAGTATATCCCCTCAAACTGCCAAGTGAGGCAGTTGCATGAATTTGACCAAAAGTTTGGAATTAAATAGTTTTGAGAAATTCATAGGCAGGATAGTATTTTTTCTATCACTCATAATGCTGTCATAAGAATACACTGGCAATTTTTTTTACCTGTACTGTATCAGTAATCCACAAATATTAAACATTATCCACAATTATACTATACTACTTTACTGGAGAAGACATAATACAAACAATGCAACCTAGCTCAAATCACCATACTCATGGGCACCTGCTGCCTTTATCCCATAATATTCACCTTTGCTCAATAAAGACAATATTTTTTGTAGTATCATCTTTTTATTTGAATAGTGTAGAATTATGAAAATTTGAATATTGCCAAGCAAAGGAGGAGGGGGATAAAGCTTACATCACCGCCTAAATATTTATATGGTAGAAACCCTGAAATAAAATAAAATTTGTATTTTTGTGTACCATGTAAATTTATATTTGTACTATAGTGTGGCCCTGTTGTACAGTAGATGGATTTTTACAAGGCATTTGACAGTCACACATGCATAGCTAGTGTCTATGATTCAGGTATATGGCATCACAGGCAAGATTTTGAAATAAATTAACATCTGGCTCAAAGACAGGCAACAAAGGGTGATCATAAACAGTACATTAAGATGGAAAAGGTTCTCAGTGATGTCACAAGGCTCTATCCTTGGACCCATCCTGTTCTGGTTTAATAGTTTCCATGAATTTAACAAAAAACAAATCTTGATATCAACCTTTTACTTCAAATAGCTGCAGACATATATTCCGGTGGGTGAAATTTGTTTGTTTGTGCATTTTAAATCCGTTGACATGGTTATCTCCCAGATGTTTTCATATTATGGTACTGTGTTTGAATGTTGCTTTATTAACGCCAACTACTTAATGAAGTATCTATCATAAGTTATATGATTAGAAGGTTGAGAAAAATTAGAGTGTAGCAGATATTTTGCTGCTTGTGGTATGTTAATTTAAATCCTTTTATTAGATATGCAGTACTATCAGGTAAATTATAAATATTTATGCAACTGAAAATTATATAATATATATATATATATATATATATATATATGCAAGTAAATCACTGTAGGTGCGCGTGATCTAGGTATATGCTGATAACCACAAGGAAAGAAGAATATATATATATCGTATATATTCTTTCCTTGTGGTTATCAGCATATATATATATATATATATTCTGCATTTACGCGGTTTTTGTTTACGCGTTTGTCATTTACTCGGTGCCTTGCCAGAATGAAAATGATTTAATTACGCGGTAAATTTGGTCTTTTACGCGGCGAGCGGCTGGAGAGGTCCAGACCGCAGCGCCATTTTTTACCCACGCGGTCCATTCTTGACCATACGCGGGAAGCGACGCGGTGAGTGGTGCTCATTAGGACGCTCTTACGTTATCGCTGACGTCTTATGACGTATCAGACTGTGATTGGGCCACACATCCTTACCACCTACCTCCCTCCGCCGCTAGCTGTGATTGGTCTAATGTAACATAACGTGCCCTGCCGCCAGAGGGTAGAAGTCGCTGACCTAGCAGGGCCTGTCTCATTGTTCTCGGTCCGCGTATACAGTTCTCTCTTGTGCCCGCTATTCCCTCTTAATTATATATATATATATATATATATATATATATATATATATATATATATATATATATATATATATATATATTCTAAATAAAATGGTACTAGGATGAGATTGAGAATGACTACAATTATGGTGAAATGAAATTTACTTTAAAATATTTGGGAAATAGGTGTTTAAGATGTTTACTATTATCACAAGTAAAAATATCAACAGTTTTAAGTTATGAAAATATTTTACCACTTGTATGTTGATTTTGTGCAATATATTTGTGTTTTTTTACAGTACTGTGTTATTTTATTTATGTACTCCATAAATAGTACTGTACTGTAGCTGTTTTTAGACTTGATTAAATGTAGTGTATAAAACTGGGCTTTTGGGAATACTGTACAGTACAGTATTATGATTCATTCTGTGGACTCTCAGTTGTCATATCATATTGTTATGATCGTGTCTGTATTTTAGAACTACTTATTGAAAGTCTGATAGGATGTATGATATTTGTATATTAATTGGTGTATGATTTATCCTATTTGTATATTGGTTTTTACAAAATCATGTTTTTAATATCCTCGTTTATATTTTGTAAAATAATAAAAACAAAAAAGTTTCTACAACTAAGAAGAGATGAATGAATTTTATTCCTGTGATTCAGTTGTAATGCTGTGCTACATGTAAGCAGTATGAAAGTAACAGTACTGTAACTGTATAATCTTAAAACTGCATATAATTTCACAGTATATACAGTACTCAAAAGTACAACCGCCCTCCTGAGGTAGAAATTAAAAATGCGATAAAATTTTTACTGAAAATTTGCAAAATAATAAGGGTTAATAGTTAAAAACA